TCCACCACTCCAGAAATCCTTTAGCCGCGAGATGGGTAGGTTTGAAGGCTATCAGCTTAAATTGGGCAAAGCCTTGATATTGTTCTTGCTGGATTTTGGCTTCCCTTGCCTTGAAAGTTCGTCCAGAAGTGATGGCGCTCTCAGTTTGGAACAAAGGTTCAGGAATCAGTTGGCATAAGCCAAACTGCCTCGAAACGAAGTTTGGTTGGTAGGCAAAGAGAAGGATTTGGTTCTTGGCTGGGGTTATCCTTGAAGAGATGAGTCTAGGCAGCAAGAAAGCTCTCCATACATCCTGAATCTCCTTGCTCTTGATGGCTTCTGAGAGAGCCATGGTGAACCAAGAAGGTCCATGAGCCCTCGAAGCAAAAGGCGCCATGCTCTCTTCGAACTTGTGCCTTTTAGAGAATATCATGATGTACTTCGAGAATTGAACTTTGAAGTCATCTTTGTCATCATTAGGAGTTAGCCTTTGAAGCCTAGTGCCTTCGACTATCCTATCACTTATCTCAGAATCTTGCTCGTCAATGGTATTGGCGGTTGATAAGGAGGGTTCGAACATGGCATTTAGCCATAGTTGGAGTAACCAAAATGGGCCAGCCAATAAAATGTTTTTGGAGGTGTGGGATTTGAGGCTCGAAACAGCTGACCTCAGGCTTTCATAGAGGTCAACTAAGAGTAATTCACTTAGGCACACTTTTCGATTTTCATGTAAATCCCTAGCTAGGGGAATGAACCTACTAGCTACCTGTAGGGATCTACTACAGAAAACGTATCTAGACAGCCACAGGGTTAAAAAAGCAATGTGCTCTACGTCAGACACATTGTCCCCTTCAGCATGATAATGACTGATAAATTTGGAAAAGCTGGCTAACTTGACTTCGAAGTCAATTATGCTTGAGTGCTCTTCGTTGTCAGGAACATAAGTTTCTCCCACTGGCGACAGCCCAATAATGGCCGCTATATCGAAGAAGGTTGGGGTGATCATTCCACCTGGGAGATGGAAAGTGTTGTAGGTACTGTCCCAGAAATAAAGGGACGCGAATAGCAGATGATGGCTGTAGGTGAATCCAGGTTTCGATAGCTTAATCAGGTTATAAATGCCTAATTCTTCCCATTGCTGGGATTTCTTGGCTTCTACTTTTGTGAACCAATTTTGATAAGCAATATCAGAAGTAGGGCAAGATCGAAATGGCTTAAAATTGCTTTTTACATAATCCAAAACAAAGGGGTCCTTGGGAAGAACAGTTGGGGTTTCTATGGTATTTGAACTAGGAGATTCTACTGCCCTAGGGGCATCCATTTTGTTGAATAAGGGTTTGAAGCTATAACAGATGGGAAAAATTGTCCTGGTGTCCTTTAATATTTCAAAAACCGTAAGAGGGCCATTTAAGGCTAACCTCTTACCAGCAACGTGGGTAGGAATGAGTACCTGTGATGCGTACAACATTTCTTTTTCTTTGGAAATCATTTGAGGAGCAAGAGCAGATTGGCCTTGAATGGTGATGATTTTACTTTCCATGGTAGCTCCTGTAGTTTTTCCTTTCTTCTTGGAGACTTTCTTGAGTTGGGATGAAGTAGAAGAAGACATTTTGGAAGATGTTTGAAAGCTTAGATTGTTTTATGAGAGAAGGAGGGTAAAAATTCAGAGTATGAAAGATTTAGAGTGTGAAAAGAAAAGAAGAAGATTAAGTTGATGTTTTATAATGGGGAAGTTTAAGCATCCACCGAATAGAAGTGTGATACGTGGAGATCATGGGTTGGTGTGATGAAGAGGTGGCGTGAAGTTAATATAGGTAATAGGCGTGATTTAAAGGATAATCATTACTTATAACTGCACCACGCTGTGAAGTGACTCCGGGCGGTTAAGGAATCCAAAAGGTGCTGTGATTGATGTGATTGGAGTCAAATGCATTAAATGTTACGATGATTCAAAAGTCCTATCAAAATCTTGTGTAAATGTTTAAAATAGGTATTTCTCAAAGGAATCGAAATACATATTTTAAAGGGGCAATTTGTTGGCTGAAGATTTTGATAATGTTATTTGGAAGCCAAAAGAGTTAAACGTTCTGATCGAAATGGAATTAAACGCCATATTTCGAAGTTGCAGAAGCAGTGTTTCGAATAAGTGTGTCAAAGCATGAAACTTCGAACGGCAATTATGGGAACATATCTAAAGGAGTCTCGAAACAACAGCGAGGCTATGTTTGGGAAAAGCGTTCGAAACGGAGAAACACCAAAGCATTTAAAATTCAAATGGAAGCGGAACTTTCAAAGTTTGAAAGTTATGTGTTGGAGCATTTGGGGACACGTGGAAAGATGAAAGAAGCATTGTCTTGCATGTTCGAAACGTGGCATAATCCTATAGCGAGACCGTTAGGGTCGAATTAGTATAAATAGGAGTCTTAGTATTAGGATTTCAGTGTGTCATATCTATTATACAAAATACTCAATAACATTCAAACTACAACATGGCAAGGGAAACGAATGCAAGAGAAATGTATGTATGATAGCACCATGTATTTTTGATTTAATGAAAACCTTTTACCATTTCCAGTACTTTCCTTTATTCTTTTTGTCAAGCAACATTTACAAGTTTTCTTATTCACAGTCTTTTCACTTCGAAGTCTCTTCCTCAAAGTTTTACATTTTCTTATTTTCTTTATGTTTCGAGCACTTTATATTTCAGAAAACTGTCACATTTTCCATACCTTTACATTCAAGTCTTGTCCTTCGAACGCATACTTTTACCTAAAATCATTTACAGATTTCTTGCATTAAACGTTTTCTCCTCATTTCAAACTTCTACATTCCAGAAACCTTTTATGTTAACCGTTTTGTAAGTCGAAACCATTTACTTCATTTTCATGCAGTTTTATATGTCTTTACAATCAGCATTACAATTAGCATTTATTCGTATAACGTAGTTTTCATACACATTTTGATTACATCTTTAGACTCTTAGAGAGAGAGATCGAAACAAGCCAAACACTTATACAATATTGACCATGAATATCTGTTCGATTGTGAGAGTAACCTTAATATCCAAGGAGTCCTAGGATCAATCTAGTCGATCCTGTGAGTTACCAGAGGGATTGAATAACAGTAAGAAAGATTATTCGATAGTTTGGAAGACTAGCGGTTGTTTACCAGAAATCACTGGAAACAGTGACCTAGTCTTAAGGTCAAACGGAATTAACCCTAGCTTTTTGTGGAAACCCTAACTGAATATGCAGCTGCTATATATTCAACAGAGCTGCTGTTTTGGAATGAATCCCTTTTTGACAGAAGACCATTTAGAAACTGTATAGTTTTAACTATTGTAATCCAAGCAATTATCATTGTGATAAGTGACTTGGAATAGGTTTTAATTGTAAGGGTTGTGTATCACTCAAAGCTTTGAAGCAAGAGTGTTTTTGTGTCTCTTGACTAAAGCTTTGAAGCAAAGTCAAGTTAGGTTGATGTATCACTCAAAGCTGTGAAGCAAGAGTGTTTGTGTTGCTTGATTAAAAAGCTGTGAAGCATAATCAAGTGTATGTTTTGAAGAGTGTCTTCATCAATTCATTAGTCAAATTGTTTTAAGTATCACTGCTGTGATTGAGGGGGAGTGAGTAGGAACTCAGGTTTAAGTTGTACTTAAATTGAAGGTGCATTGGGTAGGTCTTAAGTGAAGGAGATAAACTGGTTGGTTTATTCCTGAATTAATATCTCTTATAGTGGATTTCCTCTCTGGCTTGGTAGCCCCTAGAGTAGGTGTTGTTGCACACTGAACTGGGTAAACAATTGACTGTGTTCTTTACTGTTTTTGTATTTACTGTCTTATAGAAAGTCAGATACGGTGTCATAACATTGAACGTGACATTGAGTATCTGCAGCCAGAATTTCACTTTTTGTTTGAGAAATTATTATGAGTGGTCAAATGACCATTATTATATTCTCTTTGGAGAATTATTTGAGTTTCTTTTTGTTTGAGAAATTATTATGACTGATCTTTGTACCAGATACTACGAGTGGTGTTGATACCATATGTGAATGGTCTTGTACCATCAGATGGTGTATTTCTAGACCAATTATCTATCATGCAAGTAGTAATCGTACAATATAGAACTGAGCTGTTTTATCCTGGAGGCGGCGCGGTAGTTCGACTGCTTTGCATAATTTTGAGCTGTGTCGCGAAACATTTTAAAGAGAGCGACGTAGTCCGCGACTCAATCTAGTAATTTCTTCGGTGACAAATATTTCAAAATCCAAAACCACCACCTATCTAACCGACCGATTCTCTAATTCAGTTTTTATGTCTTTTTCGATCTCTAAATCAAAAGAAAAATCCACTAGATCTTTGACTTCACATACACAACTAGAAAAAATCTTAGTAGCATTCCACAATACAAAATAAAGTAATAAGAACAAATTCTTCTTTTTGATTTTTTACTTAATAAAAAAATCATGTATAAATCAATTATCTTATTGAAATTAATCAACAATACAAAACAACGCCGCCAAAATTTTGAAGAATATTTGAAAAATGTACCGAAGTTGTCAAGTAACAATAAAATGTTCGTATGGATTATTAACCATGAGCAGTATCTTTTAAATGACCTTACAACTTAATATATGGTTAATTTATATATTATGTTAAACATCATCTCGAACAACTTTATTCTTATGCCTCAGTCTTTGAAAGAATAGTTCCCAAGTTAGAATTAGAGAATACCTATTCCACAACTTAAAGGGGATGTTGGAGATTAGAGCATATTACTAATCCTATTTTCAAGTAGCTTAGGTTCATCTAATAACAAGTAGATTAACATCAATGTATTTCAGGAGATAATGCCTACTTTAATTTCTAGTCGTAAATTGTATAATCATATTACCGTGTTTATAAATTAAGCATGCTGCACAGTGCAAAGAACTCAAGCACATTGAAAAAATATCCTCCTATTTTCACAATTTCATATGCTAATAAACAAATGTAGAAGAATAATATATTGCCAGATTCTAGGATGAATCTACTACATTTTGGCCCCAAACTTTGGTTTCAGGACGAATTACTTATAATCTGCAGGCAAAACTACCTGAAAGTAGCCAGATGTTATTATGAAGGTCAATCCACTGATCCGCATTTGTACTCAGCGCTACTTGTTCGCAGATATGATTATCCAGAATTCTCTAGCTCGCCAACCTACGTAAATCGCTACTAGCATCATGTAGAAATTGGCATGGCTTAGGACATTCCAGCAACCCATCTTCAGGTAAGAAGAAATGCTATTGTGGTTTCCTCTGGCTCTGAAGCACTTGAACAATCTCATGTGCTCTAGTTTCAATGCCTTTCAGGTACTCTGTCAGAATCCGTTGTTGGTAAGAACCTCCCTCCTATCAAATGTACAACATCAGTTAAACAGAAGACCCAAAAAAAAAAGATGAATTAAATGTTGAAATGCGTAGCTTGTCTCACAGTTCTAATTAAAGTGCGCTCCATTCGTTTCTTCAAGACAGCATAGAGCTCCTCTGGTGAAACATCCCCAGCACCAATTGTTAATCCGTTGATCAAAATACCGTTCCATTCTCGTTCAGGAGCTGTGCAAGGGACCAAAAATAGTCGATCTTGATGCAAAATATGTAACAGAAGTTGGAGATAAAAGGAAGCACACTATTAATCTAGACCAGACAAATATAAAAGAAGATATATACCATCCACAACATTGAGATTCCGGGTATACAGAAGACTAAAACATTTATCCAGAGGACATAAGTTAGCCAAAACTTTCTCTCATATAATCTAGTTTTTTGACTTATAAACACTAACCTTTATTTACATTGATACTAGACTCTTAATCAACCAAGAAAATAAATCATGATATACAAGAAAATATGAAAACCACCAATTCTAAGAGATAATCATAGTTACTCTAAATGTTGCAGTAAAACGTGGTTATAGAGGGAGATCATAAGCTACAAATAATAGGATCATAAGCTACAAATAATAGGAATGAGAGAGGCTTATCTTTGGTTTGGGAAAGAAATATAAAGTAGGCGAGAACCATGTCTCTCAAATATCTAAGATGTAGGTTTTACATTTCCTACAATATCCAAAACCAGTTCCCATCACAAAATAACTTAAATATACATCAATATTATAATATATTTTCAATATATAATAGGTGAGCATTGCTGCAATGACAACTCAGCAGAATGGTTGGAATGATTGTCAACGTGAAGAGCTAGTTGGAATGTTGTGTGACTAAGGAAGAAGAGACTTGCAAAAATGATCATTTGCAGAAATTTCCCAACAAGCAAATTATACACCACTAAAATTGCTCCATATTCATGAAGAACAATATGTGGAAAATTTAAATCACTAGAGAACTCACAAGACCCAAAAAAATTGAGAATGAAACTAATGCTAATCTGCAGCACAGCCATGGAGAGTTCATAAAATCATCCGTGGGATAGGAGAAATTACCAATGCATGATTCACAATGAATGGCTGGAACGAATCACAATCACAGTTAATACATCATTGTATGACTCATTGGTGATTAAAAAGACATTGAAGATTGTCTATGAAAAGAGAAATAGTTGAGAAAATAAAAGATGGGCAAATACGAGATATCGGGGGTCATATTTCATATGGGATAGCTGGGACCAAACTGCATGTACAAGTCCAAGGTCCAAACAACATCTGGTACAGCCAGAACCAAACTTCATGTCGCATAGTTGGAGGTTGTCTGAAGGAGGACATGAAAATATGACAGACAAATGCAAGACTTATGGGACAGCTTGGAAAAGTGACGGACAAAAAGAGAACTTGAAAGAGAAAGCATGGCCACTTGTACCAGATTGACTATAAGAAAAGAATCATGCAAATAAGATAACGCCATTGTTAAAATAAAGCTTCAGATTTCAAGAACTCTATGGCAAAAAAATGACAAGACAGGTCATGGTGGACGGAACTGCGGTGAATTAATGCTGAAGTTATTGGGTTAGTTTTAGTTCTAATTAAATAAGGAAATAAATTATGATATATAGGGAAATGTGGAAACTAGTCCTAAGACATAATATAAGTTACTCCCTCCTTCTCATAAAAAGTGTCTTATTTGCACTTTTTCATTGTCTCAAGATAATTGTCTATTTATAATTCCAATGTATCATTTTTTATTATTATTTTTCCACTACTATACCCTTATTTATTAACTTTCACTTTATTCAACAACTCTATTAACTATAATTAATAAGCGTATTCTAGTAATGGTATTAATTTTTTCACTAAAACCAACACATCTAATCATTTTCTTAAGAACCGCGCATTGCTCAAATAAAACACTTTTTATGAGACGGAGGGAGTACTTTAGATTACTCTTTTGATATAATCAAGATATTTTTATATACTCTTCATATTTTCAAAACAGACAACTATAACATATTTACATTGTTTCAAACAAATTCAACTTGTGGTACCTTTTAAACTTATCAACCCAAATGAAATGAGGATATAAAAGAGACATTTTCACACAATATTCCTGCCCTGGTACCCTCAATAAAAGAGTGCCACCAATACATCATTAAGGAGGACAGAAATCAAACAAGGGAAGTTAATCCCCAATTGAAAATTGTGAAGCAATTTGTTGCAAATGATTTAGAAAGTGTGGATGAAAGAGCACAACAAAAACAAAACTGAAAGAACAAAAGAAACGCAGAAACTAACGAGATAGAAAAAATGAAAAAAGATTAGGATTTCTTGGCCTCCCTAGGACCATAAAACTATACAAACGAGGTGATTGCTAGAACCAGCCTAATTGGAACTGAAAGAGAGATAAGATGACGCAGACATACACATAAAATGGAGGCACTTAAAACGAAAAGATTTCAACATAAACTTTTTAAGAGAACTGGCAGTTTATATAATTCTTGTATTAAATTTACAACTATATTTTTTTCTGCAACGTAAAAGATTAGGATGATAAAGACACCTTGGATTATGGTTTCAAGGAATTGCTCATCCTTCAAAACTTCCTCCCCTGCAAGAAGAATACAACAATCTTCCAAATTAAATATAAAAATTTAATAATTATTCCAACAACGATTATATGTTGTCTGGTAAGAAGACAATGTTATGATGAAATGTTCATGTCTGGAACTTTTGTTTTCTAAACATCAGCAGTGAAAATAGATATTTTACATAAGCAAGCTTGTTCCATGTATTTTATTGATAAGTATGTGTTAAGAAATGTGGTTGGGCCTAACTCAACCCTACAAAACCAGCTTGTAGAGTGAAGATTGCCCCCACTTATAAGGAGATGTTCGTGTCATATATTATCCGGACTCTTAACACACACCCTCACGCTCAGGACTGGACATTTGGAGCGTGGAAATAAATGGTGAGTGGTCCAATAGCAGAAATCTGATAGCAGGCAGTCCACCGGATTTTAAACCAGACTCTTGATACCATGTTAAGAAATATGGTTGGGCCTAACTCAACCCTACAAAACCGGCTTGTAGGGTGAGGATTACCATCACTTATAAGCACGTGTTCAGGCCATATATTGTCCGATGTAGGACTCTTAACAGTATGTCTTTGCAACTAATGTTGAACAGTGTGATAAAAAACAGCCAAGCGAGATTGTTATTTGTAATCATCTTAATCTGTTCAATTTTATTTTCCCACATGTGTTATTTCCCAAAATTTTGCCTGTTCAATGAAATTCTTGAAAGAAGCAAAAAAAAAAAAAAGATAACCTAACCCTGTACCCCAACCAGTGTCATGCTTCAACTAGAAAAGACTCATCTATTCAGACATAAATTTTGTGTATAAGGTACACTCTCTATAAACACACCTTTCATGGCATAACTACGTTTTGAGAGAGAGTTGGAAGCGTACAGCTGCAAAACCTTTTGCAACATAGCCTCAAGCCCAGGCTTATCACCATCTTCCTTTGCCTGCTCATTATAGTTAATATACTGTTGAGTCTTAACTTTAAGTAATATGTAAAGTAATTACAGCAAACAGAGTGAAATGTAAAGGTATATATCATACAGAAAATACACCCCAAACCAAGCATAGCAGTATTTATACAAATATCCCAAAAGTACCACTAAGTATTTAGGAATGAAAAATAGTAACTAACGCACTTTGTACCTCTTTGACTAACAAAAATTAGAAAACTAATACAAGTTTTAAGGACAGTATAGATAGAAAGCAATGTTGGCTGTTATTAGAGCAAAGAGTGCCTACTGAGAAAGAAATTATTACAAGTTAAATAAAAATCAGTGGAAGTGAAAAAACAGACTCACCTGTCTTAGTTGTGCACTAACTTCGGCAAGGAACCCTTCATCCAGCTGTCCTACTTGGCCCCTTTGATTTATTTCCTAATGATAAGGATTACAATTTTAAATAATTAGACAAGATTTGCTGAAAATATACGTTTAAGATCAAAACAACCCACTGGCAATAATAAAATATCAAAATAAAATCTAGCCATTTAGAAGAGAAGAAATACTACATATACAAATTTATGGTTCTGCAGAGAGTTATTCACCTTTTCCATCACAAATGACAGCATGGTGTTACTTTCAATAAAACTAGCATTACAAAAATTAGAAGAACACACAGGCATATTATGTTATTCATTTTCCTTGAGTTCCCATGAAATTATTGATTGTTTCAATGTTCGCAATGTCATCAGTCATTTGGCCTCATAAAAAGTCCCGTCTAATTGATTTTTCACGAAAACATGAAGGTAAATTACCCTAGTCGCTACATATAGAACTTGGAAGGGCAGAAATACAGCATAATTTACCTCCCAGTGTAACACGCCACTCTAGCTAAAATCAGTGAGAAACATAACTCACCATTTCCATCAATTTGAGTGCCTGAGGATCTCGGGGAGGCCAAGAAATCTCTCCTTCATCATTAAGAACAGGTTTTAGAATTCCCTTCAAGACATCTGTTGCAGACTCTATCCTTTCCTGCAAAGCAAGTAAGTAGTAACAAGATTATGGTCCAGAGAAGCACTAAAGAAAATAAACAAACATTGAACAATAATCTGGGAAGTGAAGAGGGAGATATACCTTAGTCTTATGAACCACGAGATCCACCACACTCATAACCGTTGTTGCCAATTCTTCATAATCTTTCTGCATACCAACAATAAACAGAGAAAAAAAAACAGCGTGAAAACTAACATGCAACCTATACAGAAACCGTCCATAGAAATACTGTCAGAAATTCAAAAATGTACTTTATCATCCTCGGATTTACAAGTATCCGATCTTGCAGCGAGTCGTATCCAGAAGCCTGGATTAAAAGCGAGAATGTTTTCAACAACGAGTTTCTGAAGCTGTTTTCAAACAAAGCCAATATCAACAAACATCATCCAAAATCAATCAATTAATAGCAATACTTATCTCACATTCTGAAGTATTATTTCATAGTTGACTGCTATACAACTATAAAATATTGATTACCACAATTATTATAGTATTATCAAACTCAAACAAAGTTCCTTGAGTACATATGTTTCAAATGCAAATTACTAAGCACGTTATTTAAAAAAGGCTTCGATATTTTTATTTTTATTTTTAGAAACAAATTTATTCCCTGTGCACAGAGCTGTTACCTATACTAGTACTCAAGGTTCCGTTACCATGAAAACAGTAGCTACAAAACAGTATCGGAAGGTGCCGGTGCCGATACTGAGACAGATGTTCACCATTTTTATGATTAACATCAAGTTGTTGTTAATTCACAGTGCGACGACCACAATCAGTGTTGTAACACATGTATCGACCTAAATCGTGAAAACCATTACGCGACCGTTGCTAGTACTAATACATAACAGTTGAGTCCTAAATCATGAAACATATCAAGTATAAAATATAGTTAAATGCAAATAAACAAGATTAAAAAAAAGGAGTTAGAATATCATACTTCACGAGGATTAGCTTCTCTAAGCATATCAATGAGTTTATCAAGCTCAACAGTTTTCTTAAAAGCTTCTTCTGCTTCCCGGTTGGCTGCACATATGAAATTTGACCTGTTTTTAGATCCAAACAGGCGATTTAAAATTTTAGATTTCGAATAGCTTCATCGAATATTAGTAAGTGAAAATGAACCATCAGATCACAAAATGCGATAGTTAATTCAAATAATAATAGTGAGTAACATCGAGCATGAGTGGTATAGTAAACTACCTCGTTCTGGAATTCAAATTAAACAGTGTAAGCTTCCTCAAGATAGGTCCGTGGTTGCAGAGAATCTGAATTTTCCGATTTTGCGGCAGTGCATGCTAAATTAAAGCGCAGAGATCATGTGATTAATTGGTGAGTGTGCGTAAGAAAGGTTAACTGAAAGGTATAATGTAAAAATGGAAATAACGTACTTGTTGTTGTGGATATGATGATGATGATGATGATGATGATGATGAATGTGAATTGGGAAAAGAGGAGTGAGTATAAGAGGAAGCGGAGATAGAGAAGGCGTTCATTGTCGTAGTTGGGATAGTTAGTTCGGTGGCGGGAGAAAGCTCTCAAGTGACCCTTTGCGTATCCAAAACCCAATCACTCTACTTCACATCACAACCTGTTCTTCCTTTTTCTTCTTCTTTCTATTATTATTGTGGTGTTATTCGAAAAATATTATTTTTATTTTATGTTAAATGAAATAAAACAGTATCGTACGCATCTTTATATTTTTAAAATATAAATAAAAAAATAAAATTATTTTATTAAAATAATTTGTTATTTATAAAAGAAAGACATCATTTAAAATTAAAATAAAATTATTTTATTAAAAATTTATTTTACATTAATAATATATATTTTAATTTTTTATATATTATCTTAAATAATTTAGTATATTAAATTAAAAATAATTTTAAAATAAAAATATTACATACATAAATAATTAAGAAAATAAAACATTTCTATGGTGTTGGATTAATATATATTTTTTAATTGTACAAAAAATATAATAATTTTAAAACATTTCTATGTGTTGGATTAATATATATTTTTTAATTATATAAAAAATATAATAATTTGTGCGTTTGTACGAATTTTAATATAATTACCCGCGCGCTTATACGATATTAGTGTGTTCACACGAGTGCTAGTGTGATAAGCACGTTATTTATTTTCAAAATGGAATAAAAATGTTACTAACAAAAACAAAATTATTTTATTAAAATAATTTATTATTTAAAAAAAACATATTTTTAAAATAAAAACAAAATAATTTTCGAAATATTTTTAATAGAAATGTCTTCCGCTAGGAGGTTTGTTTTTTATCAGGATCCTTAATGTTAATACTGCTAATTAAATTTTGTATATGTTTTTTTTATTTATGTAAGTTTGTAGGAAGTAAGTTGTTAAGGAGTTAAACATCAAAACAAAAAAACTGGAAGGAGCTCCTCACCAACGAGACATTTACTAGGGATGACCTTATAACTATTCAGGTGAGTTGGGTTTGATTGGGAACATTTTCTGCAGATTGTTTATTTGCCTATGAGTATGAGCATTACTCTAATAGTTCATTTGTTGTTTTTCTTTTGCAAATAGGTTTCAATTTTATATTAATCACAATCACAGTTATGATTTCCTGATTCGACACAAAAACAATATTGTTTTTAAAGCAACTAAGCTAATAAAGATTTCTTAGATTAATTTGACATTCATTTTCCTATTCCTATTTTAGCCCTGTTGATTGTATTCATTGGACATCAGCTGCACAATTTCATTACTTGAAGACGAAATGCGCCGCATAGAAAGAGTCAATGTAAGCCCAAAGTCTACTTCTTCCATATTTTTCTTCTTAAGATCTCTATTCCTAAGATAATATTGAGTCATTTGATAATATGTTGCAGATTTGAAGAAGCACTCCATATGTTTGACAATATGTTGCAGATTTGAAGAAGCACTCCATATGTTTGACAATATGTTGCAGATTTGAAGAAGCACTCCATATGTTTGACAATATGTTGCAGATTTGAAGAAGCACTCCATATGTTTGATAATATGTTGCATAGAACTTTCACCAACATTAGGATTACTCATCTTTTTTTTATTTATGATGAAGATTTAATAATATGATTGAAGAGGAAGAGGTTATATGAACATCAAATTCAGCAGCTTGGAAATTTCCAGTTGCGTGTTCATGACCTGGTCCAAATGCAATCGTATTTGGTATTAATTCAGGAATATTGATGATGTTGACAAAATTCTAGAATAAGTTGATATCATGATGTATTTACCTGCAAATGTTATATGAGACTAAATGTTGTATAGTAGAGAACAGCCAAGAACACCAAAATAATAGTAATACTGTATGGTGGAAATTGCTACCTTAGAAATCCATTGGTACTTTCTACATATTTCGTATTTCATGTTTTGTTAATGATAACAGAATATTTTTTGCTTCAAATTATGTATATTACTGATGTAGGTTCATGTTAGCTATGTCTCAAGTTGTGGTGGTGATTCTGGAGTAGAAGTTACAATAGTTGAGCTTATTGGTGTTTGCGGTGGCATATAATTGCAGTTCATGAGTATTGCCACTATTTTATTTTCAGTTCTGAAATCTGTTTAATAATTTATATAGTTTCGTGTTTTATTCGCTTGTTTGCAAGTAGTTGTTAATCAGGAAATAATCAAACACATTTATTGTCAATAATTTACATTCATAGAATAGGAAATTGCCATTATAAGTTGTAATTAGTTATTATGAGTTGTAATTAGTCATTATGAGTTGTAATTACCGACACTATTATATATAGTATCAAATGCAATGAGAAAGACATCAAGCCAGAATTTATGACATGGTATCAGAAGGGTTCGATCTAACCTGTGAATCCTTGTTCTCTTGGCTGAATAGCGACACCCCACTGGGTCGCTCTTGAAATCGTGTTTCTTGTTTGTATTTCTCGAAATCTGAAATCTTTCAATTGCCGTTTCGTGATTTCTTCATTGTTGTTGTTTCGTGATCTTGATTCCGTGTTTATCGCACGTTGTTTCGGTGATCGTTAATCATTTGGTGCTGCTAACATATTGTGCTTTGCGATTCCGTTTCGTATTCTCGGCGATTCCGCTTGGTGATCGTTGTTCTTGGTGATTCTGTTCGGTGATCGTGGTTTCATTGTTGAATTGTTGGCGATTTCTAGATCATGGGTGTTTCTTCACCGTTCGTTAGCTACTGCGTGGTTTCCTGGTTTAGCTACCGCGTGGTTTCCTGGTTTGCTTCCTGATCTGACCTGATCAGAAATGGACCGTCACGGCTGGCTCCGAGCTGAAAGCTTTTTGAACGAGGTGGGGGGGTACCTGCAAGGCACTCCGATGCTGAAGTAAGTAGGAGTACGAGCAGATAATAGTGAGTTGAGGTTAGAATGATCAATACCTGACCCTCTGGAAATAGAGGGTATTTATAGCCCCCAGCGCTGGGCCAAGGTTCCTTCATTGGGCCGGGCGGATTTGGCCCAATGGAGGAACTGCCAGGTTCTACGTGGGTAGTGGGGACCCGCACGTGGTCCCCTTCCTGGATGTTCTGCGTGAAGTGTGGGCGGACGAAGACGCGGTCTTTCCGGAGTATCGTTGGGGGAACGGTGGACTGAGTCTGCCCTAATTGGGATGCTCGAGACAACGTCGAGCTGGACAGCAGGGTGTCGAGCTGGACGTCAAGACATGGAGCTGGACGGCAGGATGTCGAGATGGACGTCAGGAGGCGGAGCTGGACATCATCACGTGGAGTTGGACGGCTGGATGTCGAGCTGGCCATCAGGATGTCGGGCACGGATGTGACCCCTTTACTCGGCGTGGTCCTCAGTAAGTCCCTTTGGACTGGGCCTTAGCAATGCTTTTGGGCCTGTCGGGCCCAGTCCAGAACAGGAGCCCCCCAAGTCGTGGTTCCTTTGCGAGGAGCCATGACTTGAACCCAAGTTATTCCCTCGTTGAGGTCTCGTGCCCGGGATAGAGGTGTGGGCCCTCGAGGGGCCTCCTCGTGTCGTGCTCGGAGACTTCCTCGGTGGTGGATGCGCGGAGGATCCTTACCGGGCGCGTCGGTCGAGCACACGAGGTATCTTTCGGGAACTGTGCCCCCACCCCTATGGGGGTAGAGCCATCATTGCGTTGGGAGCAGCGCGTCGAGGAGATGGAGTCCGTGGTTGCCCGAGGTGACGTTTGGTATTCCACGTCATCACTATAAATAGGAACCTTGGGCCCCATAATACATTTTCTGCTCTCTGTGCTCTCTCTGCTGCTGCTCTTCCAGACTTTCTCCAGTTGCGACTTTCCGTTACAGATTCTTTCATTTCGTAGCCAAATCCCACTCTTTGATCCAAGTAAGTGATCTATCTTCTTCATTTTCTGTTTAGAATGCATGATTTCTGGTATTTTTAGATGTTTTAGGACCGTGCGCGTGGGATTAGCCCGGTAAACTCATGCTTAGCCCGACACATTCATGTCTAGGACCGGCAAACGCATGTTTGTGGCCGGCACATTCATAGTTTTAGGTGATAAACTTCAGAGCTGCCCGGGGTCTTCAGGATCCAGGGCGCCTGATTCATGATCGCGCTCGGTATGTTCATGGTCTTGGCCGTGGGCTTCATGGTGCGGCTCGCCATGTTCATACCTCGGGCCGACATGCTTGGAGAGTGGCCGCGCAGTTGGTTTGAGGAAGAACACCGGGTTCAGGACGTCGGGGAGGCATCCATTCGTGGAAACAGACTTATGTAGTCGTGTATGGGACGACATGATTTTGTCGAGCGTAGGACTTCGTGCTCAACTGACTGGTTTCCCGTGCTCTGCAGGTAACCATGGCGGACGAGCCGAGCTCCTCCGGACGCCGCGACCGTGAAGAACAGAGTGCCGACGAGTCGGTCACCCTGATTGATACCGTGACCGACCCTTTGCTGGAATGGGTGGGCGTCGAGCCGCGGGGGATAGCGTCGGTATACAGCCGGGACGACCGACATCCATTCGATGTCATTGAAGAGGGTCAAGACCAGCTCGGCTTCCAGAAAAACTTTGTAGTCATGCTTCCGTCAACCCGTGCAAGGATTTGCTCGGTTTATCCGAATTACAGCCTTGCGATGTATGAGATCGCGTTCAAAGACCTAGGGCTGCGGCTGCCCTTCACTGATTTCCAGGCCGGGGTCTTTATGCACTTGGAGCTGGCCCCGTCCCAGCTACACCCAAACTCTCTCGCCTTCATCCGGGCGTTTGAGTTGACGTGTCGCTACCTGAGGATCGGGGCGACCATCCCTCTTTTCTTCCGGATATTTCACCTGCAGCGTCAGTCCCGAGGAGGGAAACATAGCTGGGTCTCCCTGAAGCAGTCGAGGAGACTCTTTAAGATGTATATGGACTCCGTGAGGGGGTTTAAAGACAAGTGGTACGTGGTACGGCCAGTTACCGACGCTGCTTTAAATTCCCTTTTCGAGGAGGAGGGGCCGGTGAGCGACGATGATGGGGAGACGATGATGGGCGACGATGGGAACCCTGTGCTGGGTCGTAGGGCTAAAATCCCGGTGTACTGGATGTCCCGGCATTACGAGCATGGGACGGGTTATTACCATACCGCCGCCGGGGACATGTGCTCGGAAGATGAGCAGGCGTACGGCGCTCTTTTCCGGTTTGTCGACAGTTTCCATCCCGCCCGATGGGTTACGCGGGAAGGGGATGATATCTTGGACAAAGATGGTTACCCAACGTTCGAGTCCCGTCCGATTGACACCAATGCGCTGGTGGAGTGCCCGACATACAGGCAGGCTGCCCGCCTGTTAGGTTGTTTGTTGCTTGAAATTCTTTGTTCATCGTTTATTTATGAAGTTTGTTCGACACTGACCTAACCTTTATTTTGTGCAGGTACGATGGCTAGTCGACATGAAAGGCTCTTGAAATTATCCTGCGACCAGAGGCGAGGCAGGAGGGTCGTGAAGGCCCCACAGGCGACGAGGATGGGCCCCCCACCCAGTCCAAATGCTCCTCAGCGGGTGAGGGTGGATTCGCCGTCGAGCTCGGGGCCCGCATCGGATCCAGAAGTCGAGGAGATCGACCCCAGTGCCGCTTTGATGCAGAGGAAGAGGACCCGTGTGGAAGGTGGTCCGACTGTCGGCGAGGACGCCGACGCTGTTAAGTCTTTCGCCTTCCCCCCTTGCTTCGAAGAGGCGGGCTTTTTCGAGCGATTCCCTCCGACAGTGGTTGCCCATGAAGCTGCGGCCATAAAAAAGATGAGTAAAGAGGAACGGAAGGCGTATCTGGCCGCCAGCGTGGATGGGCTGGTAAAAATGGCCGAAATGGCTTTGGTGCTATCCGAGGATGGAGGGGATTCTGCCCGTGTTAAAGAGCTCGAGCAGGAGAAGGCGGCCCTGACCGCGAGCTCGCAGAAGTTGAAGGTCGCTCTGGAACGCTCCGAGGGGATGTTCCGAGAGCAGACTGCGATGCTCGATGCTGAGAGGGAGATGTTGACCCTGGAGAAGGAGAAGTCGGGGAAGTTGACCGAGGAAGGGGAGCTTCTTCGGGCAGACAGGGATCGCCTGGGGGCTGAAGTCGAACGCTTGGCCAAACAGGTCGAGGAAATGAATGCTGCCCTGCAACCTGCCGAGGACGAGCCCGAGGACCTCGTAGCTTTGAAGAGTCGGGTGGAGTTGATCGCCCACATCCGGCTCCTCGAGGTAGACTGCGTCGGTGCCCTAGAGGACGGGTTCAACTCTGCGGTCGGTCAACTCTCCCTGCTGAACCCTGGCCTGGTCACTGAGGGTATCGGTCACACACACCAGATTGTGGACGGCGTGATCGTTCCTCCGCCCGACTCTCCGAACGCCGACAATGATGATTCCGTGGAGGTCTGAATAGGATAGCGGGCCTGCGTGCTCTTGATATTTGTATTCTTTGGGCCTGCGTGCCCGTTTATTGTATGTTATGAACATCGCCGGCCTTCTTGGTCGGTTTATTATTGTTTTGTCGCCTTCGGGCATTTATATCAATGCTGTTTTACACTTTGCATGTTTTGCCCTTGTTTGAAATCATTTATTTGCATGAATTTTTAGCCTAAGTCACGGGCC